ATTGTAGGTAGGAATTTAAAAATAGTTGACTGAAGAAGAAAGGAAATTTCTGGAGTGATGGAAATGTTTTATATATCTTCTACGTTTTACATGGTGATTACAGGGGTAAATAAACTGTCAAAACTCCTCAAACTCAACACATAAGATCTTTGCGCTTAGATTCACTAAAATTTGCACATAAGAATGCTAAGATTCTATTTTATGTTAATTGTAGCTTTATAAAATTTCTTTTAATCTTCTGTTCAAAACCGAAATCTTCTGTTTCCGGAAGTGTTCATATTTTTCCAAAGTAAACTTCATATCAATAATTTTCTTTTTTTATTATCTTGTATTTTTAAAAAATCACTTCTGAAAAAAAATCAATTCTGGCCTATCTTCCTCTTTCGGTCCATATTGCTAGCGGATTGGGTCACCATTGTTTAGGTCTCTTCCCTTCCAGATTATCAGGGACAAAACTGAACAAAACGCAAAGCCAGACCTGCTGACCCTTGGGTGAACCCCTAGTCTCCATGGAAGTCTGGTTTTGGAAGAATGATCCATCCCAGTGCTGCCTGTTACCTACTGATTAGTCTTCAGTCTGCCTAATCACATAGAAGCTTATTTAATTCCTATAATAGCATCTGGAGAAAGTACGCTCACCAGTTAGCTAAAATTCAAATGTATTTGCTAGTTTAGAATTACTTGTGGGAAAAAATACTGCTGTTCCATAGGCATCTTTAGTTCATTTCAATCTTCCCTGACCATGAGTTTTCAGGGACTTATCCTCCATTATTGAAATGGAGGACAATGAAATATGTGAAACAACTAAATTGAACTCCCCTGGGTCCAACTGATCCATAAGCCAGCAGAACCAGAAAACCAAGAAGTCTTGGTAATTCTTGAAGGCATAATATCCATATTCATAGAAAAATTAAAAATGTTGATCAGCAAAAAGAACCATAGTTCCATAAAAAAAGCTCATATTTCTGCCACTTAGAAAAAATACCATTGTTAACATTGACTTTTCTCTAGATGCAGAGACATGAAAATGTATAATAAAGATGAGTTTTCTGACAAGTTTCTCTTCATATATGGTAAGCATTTTACATTTTTCTGGTATTTATTTTCAGGTGATAATCTGTCTTTATATGTGGATATCTTATTAGCCAATCATCATTTTGTGGAATTTTTAATAATTCTCCTGTTGTTTGTTATTATAGACAAAGTGTGTTAAAACAGCTTTCAATAATATAATACCTTTGCATATTCATCAGATTCTTTTTTTTTAGATTTTTAAATGTTTTTTTTTTTAGTTTATTCCTTAAGAATGAATTCCTAGAAGTAGAATTGCTGGGGTTGACATCTATTGATGGCTTCTTTTCTCTGTAATCTGTTAACTTGTTCTGTTTTGGTCTGTAACTCTACTTTGGTATGCAACACTACTTCTCTAGACAGCAACTACATCACTCTTTTGTTTCTCTTTCAGGCAAAAATAACCCAAGGTTGTTGATATTCACTCTCTCCAATCTGCTCTTCCTTTTCGTGCTTATAAACATTCCATTCAAGCTTTGCCCCAGCCACCCCCCCAAAAAAAACTGCTCTTGTCAAATAACCAATGACACCTCTTCCCCACAATCCATTTTGTTAAATCCAGTAGTAAGTCTCATCCAACATCTTACTTGAGTACACAGCTTTTGAGATAGAGGATCATTCATTCCCTCCTTCTAGAAACATTTCTTCCCTTGGATTCCAGGATACCAGACAGTGTTGGTTTCTCTTACACCTCACTGGCCACTCCCTTTGGCTCCCCATCCTACTGATCTGATTCTTTTGGGGAGCTCACCAAGTCTTGTAGTTTTAAATAACAACTCCCTGACAATGAGTTCCAACTACTCTCTGCGGTCTAGTCCTTACTCCTGAATTCAAATTCAAATATTTGAATTTCCGCACCTTGCAAACTTACCACGTCCAACTCAGTTCTAATCTTTCTTCTTCTCATGTAACCAAAGTCAAACAAAACAACCCGCCCTATCCGGTCTTTCCCCGCGTTGTAAATGAGGATGGTCGTCCTTCCTGTTGCTCAAGCCTAAATCAGAATGCCCCTGGATTCCCGCCCCCCCACCGTGCATAACACTTTCGGTTCTTCCAGAAATCTTGTTGGGTCTAATCCTAAAATCTATCTAGAATGACATCACCTTCACTGCTACTGTTCTGGTCCAGTATTTCTCCCCTGGATTATTAAAAGGGCCCCTAGCTGGTCTCCCTGCTTTTGCCCGAACTCCTGCACCTATTCCAAACACAGATGAGCCTGAGTAATCCTTTTATTTATTTTTTTTATTTTTATTTTTTTAAATGTTTTATTTATTTCTAGGAGAGAGAGAGAGACAGCGTGAGCAGGGGAGGGTCAGAGAGAGAGGGAGTCACAGACTGAAACAGTCTCCAGGCTCCGAGCTGGCAGTCAGCACAGAGCCCGACGCGGGGCTCGAACCCACGAACCGCGAGATCATGACCTAAGTGAAAGTTGGACGCTCAACCGACTAAGCCACCCAGGCACCCCCTGAGTAATCCTTTTAAAATGGAATTCAAATATTGTCACTCCTCTGCTCGAAACTCTGCATGGTCCCTCCATTTTACTTAGAGTAAAAGCCAAAATCCTTACAATGCTCTATAAGCCCTGTGCTCCGTGCTGTCCTAACACCTCCCACATACCCTCTCTCTCCTTGTCTCCTGCTTTCTCCTGGCTCCAGCCACCCTGACCTTCTAGCCATTCTGAGAACTTACCAGGCATGTGCCTCCCTCAGGACCTTTGCACTGGCTCTTCCCTTGGTCTGCAATGCTGTTTCATCTGATAACTTCACGGCTGAATCCCTTGCATCCTTCAGCTTTTTGTGCAAATATCACTTTCCCTAATATCCTAGTTGACTTTCCCTTTTAAGAGTCCCTCCTTCAGCATTTACTTTTCTCTACTTCTTTTTCACCATAGCATTTATCATCTTCTGATATATATTTTACTTGTGTTATTTGTTTCTCTTGGTCCCCCAAAATATATCTGTAAAAGCAGGAATTTCTATCTGATTCATTCAGTGCTGGAGGAGGGTCAACATCACAGATGCATACTTAATGTTTTTGATCCAGATTTCCAATTTGCTTCTCAAGATATCAAAGAATTTAAGTAATAAGGTAGAGAAGGAGTGGAGGACATAGTACTGGAAAGCCACAGGCATGCAAAATAGCAAATAGTAAATAAAGAAACATGTCAGGTGCTTTGGATATAACAGTGTGGGCATACAGGATCGACTTAAAATAGGAATAAATCAGTTGAAAAGGCAATTATTTAATGGAGAGCACAAAACCAACCTACTCCATGACAAGAAATAAAAGGATGAAGTAACTAAGGAGTTCCACACTAGGATCCTGATCTGGGCCTGGGAAACTTAGTGAAAACTTTTACCACAAAGGAGTTGGGCAAAGAGCCAGACTGCAACAGAAGGGTGGCTGTCTTTGAAAGAGTATGGAAAACTAGGGTTCCTCCTAAGAAAATTGGATCTATCTAAAACTGTATTGAGTTCACTACCTCACCCCAGAAACCTATTCATAAGTGACCCTGAGCCAGTGGTGGAGGATTGTGATTAAGAAAAAATAATAGGGGCACCTGGGTGGCTCAGTTGGTTAAGTATCTGACCAGCTCAGGTCATGATCTAGTGGTTCACGGGTTTGAGCCCCACATCAGCCCTCCACTGTCAGTATAGAGCTGCTTCAGATCTTCTCTCTCTCTCTCTCTCTGTCTCTCAAAAACAGACGAACATTAACAAAAAATTTTTTAAGAAAAAAATAGTAATCCTAGTTAAGAAGTCTTATTTCAGGGACACCTGGGTGGCTCAGTCAGTTAAGTGTCCAATTCGGTTTCAGCTCAAGTTATGATCTCAGGGTTCGTGGGTTCAAGCCCCTAGTTGGGCTCTGTACTAATAGCATGGAGCCTGCTTGGGATTCTCTTTCTCTGCCCCTCCCCTGTTCATGCATGTGCGTGTGTGTGCACACACACATACACACTCTCTCAAAGTAAATAAATAAACTTAAAAAAAAAGTAATACTATTTGTTTCTTGGATGATAGTTGCTTGGAAGGAAATGATGTGTAGGTCATGACGTGGGTAGTTGTAATACAGAATCGTAATATTTTGAATAAATATTTGAAACTGAAGTTTACTCAGCTAAAAGAAAGAGAATCCAACTACCATGACTTAAACATTTAATTCTCCATAAATATGTTGAATTAAACATCCCAAAGTTACCTCAGTGGATGTTCAAATTGAAAGGTTCTTATTTTAAGCTTGGTATACATAATTTTATAAACTTCCCAAGATAAGCAAAAGAAATACTATTTAAGTACTGCTAATCTGATTCTTTTTTTTTTTAATTGAAACCAGCAAATAGTTTTTCCAAACAATCTGAGCTATTGTCTGTCTGGCTTCTGTACAACTTTATCATTAGCATCCTTCATCTAAATAATTCACTAAAATGTTATAAAGGAGTCCTGCTTCTCTACCGAATACCCCTTCTCTCTGTGGTATAGAACCCAGAAATAATTAAATGAAATTCAGCTTGGGTAGTTTTTCTTGCTGAGCTGTATCCCTGGAGAGGGATGTGGGAAGGGAAGGGAGAGGGTCTTATTTATATCTAATAAAAACAGCTTTTATTCACTGAGACCATCCGCTGCACTGTAATAACGCTAATGCAGAGAACTCCTCTGTCCGAAATCCATTTCATGTCTGATACCTGATGCCAATCCTTACAGTGATAACGGCCACAAAAACAAATGCAGAGGCACTGAATTTAAATACAGTCAGTCCTGAGAGGTCCCTCTGGTTGGCTTCCTTTCCCTGTTGCCACTCATCGAAGAACGATTTTACCAACAGCCATCAGCCGAGCACATCCAAGCTGGATCCTAGCCAAACGCAAGCAGTGTTGTTGAAATCTGGGCAGCGAGGTGGAAGGGTGGCCGGTGCATCGGTCGGACGAAAACATGCGGGGACTGATGGCCAGCAGCTGGAGGAAGTTTGGACACGCTGGCAGAGGGACATATGAGTGGTTAACTAGTGAGCCAAGCCGACCTCTTCTGGAAACCCAGCTGCAGGTCTGTATCTATGACTTAAGCCTTTTCTTCCCCCAAAGGATCTTTGTCAGTTTCAAAACCAGAAACGCCTCTATTTTTAGGATCTTAAAACTCAGTGGCAACCTTTTTCTTTATGGGGATGGCAGAAAGATGAATTCACTGTCCGGCATGGTCTAAGGAAGTAACTTGAAAGTTGTAGTCTTTTGATAACGATAAATTCAAGTGAAACTTGCCACAGTTATGTTTCAAGAACACCTGATAGGTCAAATTTATCCGAGAATATCTGAAGGCAGGAGTTGACAGAGTTGTGTGCCTTGGTTTTATGACTTTGTTCTTTGCACAGTAAGCAGTCTGCTTACTCAAAATCAAGAGGCCCCCTGCGGCTCTGTGGCGGATAAGGACAACGTTGCTTAGAGGTAGGAGAAGCCAGGGATCTTACCTCAGGCAGGGCAGCAGAGGGCCAAGCAGGCTTTTGTCTCTAAGAAACTCTGCGGCTGCTTTGCTTTGTCTGGGGAATCACCAAAGAAGCCTCAGTCTGAGACAGCACTAAGGAAAAATTTTTGTAGAAACGTAAGGACTCAATTAATTTTATGATCAGGAGGGAAACGAGGGATACTGCTATCCCACACAAAAGAAAAAAAAAAGAGGGAAACAAACCTATTTTCTTCTTGTCTGGAAAATCAACTGACGAGATTGGTATTTAAGTTCTCCCAAAAGACCTCTTACAGAAAGAAATGTTAGATGTATTTTATATATACTTACATAAATTATTTATCTTTTACATTTAAAATTGCATATACAACTATGATGGTAAATCCTTCAACAGTTACACTTTGAACTGAATATTTTTAGAGATATTGCCAGAATAACAAAATCCTTGCATCAAATACACATCAGATAAATATTAAAAAAAAAAAATAACGTTGAGGGAAGTTAACAAACCAGAAGATTTGACTGAAAAAGTAGACATCTGTGGGGCACTTGGTGGCTCAGTTGGTTAAGCGTCCAACTTTGGCTCAGGTCATGATCTCATGATCTGTGAGTTCAAGCCCTGTGTTGGGGTCTGTGCTGACAGCTCAGAGCCTGGAGCCTGCTTCAGATTCTGTGTCTCCCTCTCTCTCTGTCCCTCCCCACTCTCATACTCTCTCTCTCTCTGTCTTTGTCTCTCTCTCTCAAAAGTGAATAAACACTAAAAAAAATTTTTTTAAGTAGGCACCCTTTTTGCCTAAAGAATCCAAACCAATTTGAATATACCAAGAATTAGTGAAAGAGAAAATAAAAGACGACTTCATAAATTGTCCTGTAGCTCTGTGCTTCCCTTAACTAGAAAAGGAGTTCTTTATGTCAAGAAATTGTCCTAATTTGCCATCTTAAATAAGTCTTTTAGTGCCACTTTATGTTTGGATAAATTTGACTCAACCAGTGGCAGTACAGATTACAGGGAAGGACTATATCCTTTCCCTTTACAAAATTTTGCAACTGATTGCAAACTAATTGTAAAAAAATATGTTCTGAGTATTGATAATACCATAAATGGCAGAGTTGTAAAGAATAGAATCTATTACACAAAACCTTTTAAATAGCACATTAAGTATCTTTATATTCTATGCATACTGAACTTACAGAGTATAATAGAGTATTTAGAATTTGATGGCCACAACTGTTTAGAAACTATTATCATCCGTATAGTTGATGGAGAATGCAGAAAACTGAGTTATAAAAAAAATGGTCCGTGTTCACCAAGGTTGAAGAGTAATTGTTTTAAGCGCTAAAAGAGATAATAGCTTTAACACTTTTATTGATTCATCTAGAGAAAAATATCTCAATGTAGTTAAATTGCTTTTGACTACAACTTGTTTTTTTACTAATGGTAGTAAATTTATATTTATGAGTTCATCTATTCTTACAGCTTTTGTAATCAAAGTCCTATTTTATCACAACAGATTTTAAGTTAATAGTTTTGATAAATTACATTATGCATGAGAAAACAAAGAACCCATAATTTAGAAATATAAACACACACAAAAATAGATTAAAATATTTTTTTCTGAAAAAATATAGTTATTAAAATATAAACACAGTAATGCTAGGGTTTTTAATGTTCACTATTTTCTAGCCTTAGCAATAAATTTCTAGACTTCTGATTATCTTTAGTATTTTATTTTCTAGTAAATTTGACCATGTGAGTCCCTGAGATATATATATTTATTATTCACCAAGTGCTTTAAACACATTGATTAATTCTCATGTCAACCCCCCTAAAAAGATGTTACTATTTCCACTTCACAGAGAAGGAAACCCAGGCCCATAGGGGACAAATAAATGGTCCAAGGTCACACAGGTATTAGAAAGTCCCACTAGAGTTCAAAGCCAGGGCTGTCACACTCCAAAACGAAAACAGAAACAAAACGTTTAATTTTTATGCACTTTTAAACTAAAATATCTGAACTCATATCTTACTAAGAACAAACCATCTGGCAGTATAACTATTAAATAAACTAATTTTATATCAAAATAACACACGTAATTGTAAGTGCTTTAGGGTATTAAAAAAAGATTATATAAACAGATAAACCAGTCTCTTAAGAGGTCATGGTCAGCAAAACAGCTGTCCTCACCCCCAAAATCAAGGAAAGACTCTCAGCTGTCACAGTTTTATTATCATCAAAAGACACGGGGTATCAGAATGGATAAAAACACAAGATTCATCTATATACCACCTACAAGAGACTCATTTTAGACTAAAGACACCTGCGGATTGAAAGTGAGGGGATGGAGGGGCGCCTGGGTGGCTCAGTCAATTAAACACTGACTTCAGCTCAGGTCATGATCTCGTGGTTCACTGAGTTTGCACTGTGCTGACAGCTCAGAGCCCAGAGCCTGCTTCAGATTCTGTGTCTCCCTCTCTCTCTGCCCCTCCCCCACTCATGCTCTGTCTCAAAAATAAATAAACATAAAAAAAAAAAGTGAGGGGATGGAGAACCATCTATCATGCTAATGGAAGTTATAATTTATTTTAAATAAGTAGATAAAGAGTTTAGTATTTTGCTTGTTTGTTTGAAACACAATATAAGGCTTTAATTTTTTTTTTCTTCTGTAGTGGGCACAATCATTACATTTATTGCTGTATGAGTTATATAACAGACTTTTTTTTTTTTAAATACCTCGCTACTTCTTAGCAGCTTTATTGAAAGCAGCGTCTGTGCAGTTTGGAACACTGTTTTTTTTATATTGCTTTTCTACCTTGCTGTTGAAGCATCATTTCATGGCTCTTACATTATTTACACCCTCAAGGACCATCATTACCTTGTGAGCTAATACTGTAAAATCAATACCTTCTAGGTTGCTTAAGAATTTATCTGCATTTTTTTGTAAACAGTGAACTTCCAAGAATATTTAATTTCATGTTTCCATTGAAGTCTGGCTAAGCCGGGAAACCCCACAGATGATGAATATCATAATAACAAAGCACCAAATATGCTTACACTTTCAAGATTTTATTCTAAGAAAATAACCAGTTATTGTTGATACCAGGTAGAGCTCACAAATAACTGCCCCTCTCCAAGTACAATCACTGCAGAAATCTCATGGCCAGCTTAGTAACATCCTAGACTAGGGAGGGTATTTGGGGGGTAGGGAGGTTGTTTGTTTAGTGCAGGATTGAAAGATTCATTAGACTTAATTGCTCAGTTCAGGCTTTTCTCCCCTTTGAGCAGATATAAACAGCACGTTGCAGGAATTTGGCTGCAAATTAGTTGCTACACAGTCACTTAGAGAAATTTTAGGCCATAATAGGTTACAATTCTTTTTCTTCAAAGAGTTCAAGGTTTCCATACTGATTCTACAAATACTGCAAAAACAAACGGATTTTAAAATCTCATCATAAACATCAGCTATTAACTCAGATTGCAAATATTCTTTTTTAATGTTTTTTAATTTATGTTTGAGAGAGAGACAGCAGGTGAGCAGAGGAAGGGCAGAGAGAGAGGGAGACACAGAATTCGGAGCAGGCTCGAGGCTCTGGGCTGGCAGCACAGAGCCACCCTTGGGGTTCAAACACAAGAACCACCAGATCACGACCTGAGCGGAAGTCACATGCTTTAGGATTGAGCCACCCAGCCGCCCCTCAAATATTCTTTGTGACATGAACACATAACAATGTCACAATTCATTCCAGCATTAAAGAATTTAAGTTCCATATGACCCTTTTGTGGCAATACAACATTATTGGGCTAATATAAATTAAGTGCATAAATAGTAAGCGCAGCCATTCAAAGAATGAGGGGTGGCTCTATCAACCAAAACCTACTCCCCTACTGTAATATGAAATACTGTAGGATATCATATGTATTTTTGACACCTGAATTCCTACTTTATCATATACATCTGCTTTATTTCGTGTGGGCTCCAGTTCACTGGCATAAATAAATGCCTACAGTGATTCCGAGAGTGGGGAATGATAAGAATAAAAGATGAAGAGAAAGAGATGGCTTCTTTCCCCACCTCCTAACCCAGCTCCGTTCCCTAACTGCAGGGCACCCAGAAAGTAAGTTCCACTAAAGACGACGTGGAGCCCTTCCTGTGCATCCTTCTCCCGGCGACCATCCTGCTCTTTCTGGCCTTCTTTCTGCTACTCCTGTACCGCCACTGCAAGGCCACACGGCCCGGGGGACAGGTGATCAGCATTGACCTCCCAGAGCACGCTCCCGCGGGAGAGGCCGTGGACTTCCGGCCGGGCCCGCCCTGGAGCTGCGAGCCGCGCTTCCCATACTCCCAGCTGCCCGGGGAGGCGGCCCCCGTCCCGGCCTGCTCACCGCCCTCCTACGAAGAGGCCACCAGGACCCGCCCTGGGGCAGGGGCTCCGGATGCAGGTCTGCGGCGTCAAGAGGGGTCACCTGGCCCGGAGGAGCAAGTCTAAACTGCTCCTGGGAACTTTCAAGGACAGCTGGCAATCCTTAACGGAGGGAGCGCCGCCCCCCCCCCCCCAGGGGAGGGGAGCGGGTGAGGGGCGAAGCTCCAGACCGTCCCTGCAGACTCCTGGATGATGGGGGCGCTTCAGGCTGGGGGCAGAGCCTGACAAGTGTCAGTCTGGTTAAGCACCGTCAAGTTCCCCAGGGAGAACTTGCCCTAGGTTGTCCGGAATTGGACCAGGCTTTTCTAAAACGTAGAACAGCCCAGAGAGAAACAGGAAAGCTCTACGAGAGTGGAGGGAAAATGTGGATTACTAGGAAGCATAGGAACTAGGTCTGAAGGGAAAGAAAAGCGTGGATCAGCCAAAGGAACCTGCTTTTGCCACCAAATAAAATGTGTCTTCCTACACACTTTTTTTTCCCTCCAGGGTTTTATGGTCTCACGAGAGAGTTCTAGAAGGAAAACCTCTCTAGAGCTGTGGTGGTCAATTGTGTTGTAAACGATGGTAAATATGTTTCAGTATAAAGAATGAAAGTGCAGGCATTGGCAAACATTTTAGTTTAAAAAATAATAATAATAATAAAGGTCACCAGAATTCACTCCTGCCTGGTGTAGACCTTGCTTTACTTGTGCTCTGGTTTGTCTCCTAGCTCGGGCAAAGGACCAGGGCGTTGTGCCGGAATGTCTCACGCTCCGACGGCATGGTTGACAGCGCTGTAGCAGGACAGACTTGCTGCTTTCACACATTATCTTAGGGACACTATGGCTGAAGATGTGGCCTTCCCCAAGCAGCAGTAAGAGAGTAGATACTAGTTTAGTGTTGGAAAGTAAAGGTCCAAATTTTGGAGCACACAGGAAGGAGAAACACAGATGAGCTCTAACAGGGACGTCATGAATCATCTAATCCAAACTCTTGCCTTACAGATATCAAAACTAGAATGCAGGGAGGCTGAAAAATGTGTCTGCTGTTAAATACCTCATAAAAGAGCCTGGGTCAGAAGGCTCTCTGCCCTGGGCTAGAGCGCCTTCCGGTGCACCTGATTTCCTTCTGGGAAAATTGCTAATGTGGAATTTCAGGCCTTGCTCCTGGCTGGGCATGAAGGCTCCCAAGAGAAGAAGCCCAGCTGAGTTTGGAATGGATCTAAATCTCCCTCTGGGACTTTCAAATGGGGAGGTAGAGGTGGGTCATATACCACTGGGATGCTTATCAGAATCCCCATGGAGGTCATGGAGGACACAGGAGGTGACATGGATGATTCCACAACTCTTAATTTGATACCATAATTTTCTTGGTACAGCTGTTTATGGTTGCTTTCACAATGCAAAATCAGGCAACATTTCAGTGGTTAAAAATGAACTTTTTTTTTTTTACTTTTTTACATGAACACTTTTATGCTATATATGCAATATGGTGCGGTTTTAGGAAAATAACAAAGGAAACCCAAACAGGATACATTTCTCTCTAAATATAATCTGATGGAAATTATAGTAGTATTTTGGAGGACTGATGTAAAAGATAAGCTATTTGAGTGAAGATCAATAAAATTTCTCTCCGGAAAATTATACTGAACAATTCCTGATGGCATTTAAGGGAAGTAAATAAAACAAATGGAAATGAGAAGCCCAGCAGATAGCCTTCTTCAGATTTTTTTTTAAATCTTAAGAATCTAGTTTTCTGTGACACCATGTGGGTTCTTTTCCAGCTACCATTCCTCCTTTGCCGACAGAACCCTGATTTGGTCTGGGATCCTAAGGCCACTGTGTAAGGCAGACCAGATCCCTCCCCAGGCCAGGTAATGCATCGTGATAGTTAATCATGGTGATCTCATTTCCTCTACCAGGGACTGATTTGGTCTTTAGGACCTAAGGGGAGATCTGTACAGGAGAGGGCTGTTCTAGAAAAGGTTGCCTCCTATTAAAAAAAATAATAATACAGGGAAGGAAACACTCTGCCTCTTTGTTGGGTGTTAATGTGTCTGCATGTGGTCCCATGGAGATAGGATAGCCATCTTGCAACCATGAGGCAAGACATCAATCATGACTGGTATTGAGGATAGTAGAGTAGCCAGAGGGTTTGGTGACATTGTAGAGGAGCTGAATTAGCCTTTCAACTGTCTATATTTCAATGAGAGAATGTCTTTCCCCCACTTTTAAGCCATTTAAACCAAGCTTGTTCCTGGTAGACAAGAACATCCTAAATGCTGCAATTTCTAGGGTTATTAAGGAAATGCATGACCATGTTTTAAAAGGTCCTGATAAGACCTACTTGCAAGAAGTAATCAATGATAGGATTCCTTTAAGATGTGATCAGTGATCTGAGGAAGAAAGATTTTCTCTTATGGAACCAAACTGAAGTAAACTATTAGCCAGAGGTCACTTAACTACAGCCCATGAGCCAGATCCTGGAGACAAGAATGATTTTTACAATTTTTAAGTTTTTTAATGTTCATTTATTTTTGAGAGAGGGAAAGAGCATGAGCAGGGGAGGGGCAGAGAGAGAGAGAGAGAGAGACAGAGACACTGAATCCAAAGCAGGCTCCAGGCTCTGAGCTGTCAGCACAGAGCCTGATGAGGGGCTCGAATTCATGAGCCGTGAGATCATGGCCTGAGCCCAAGTTGGATGCCTAACCTTCTGAGCCACCAGGTGGCCCAACATTTTTAAATAGTTGAAAAAAACATCAAAAGAAGGATTTTTTGACACATAAAATTGTATGAATTCAAATTTTGGTGTCGAGATATAAAGTTATTGGAACACAAATTATTGCCACTTATCTATGGCTGCTACGTCAGACTAAAGGGGTTGCAACAGAGACTATAATGACCTTCAAAGCCTAAAATATTTACTATCTGGTCCTTTAAAGAAAAAGCTGGCTGATCCCTGCTAGAGACCAGTGGATTTCAACCCTGATTGCATGGTAGGATTGCTTGAACTTTTAGAAATACCTATACCAGGACCCACCTAGACCAACTAAATTGAAACAGAGCGAGTGATTCTAATATAAAAGCAAGGCTGAAAACGATTAAGTTCTATGAACAGGCCACAAAATGCAGGTGAGCTTCAACGCGGATAGATGTAAGGCTACAGACTGAGAGAAAACTAGATCTATAAATCTAGCTTTGAGCCATCATTTATTACCCAGCATCTTCCGTACACTCTGGAAGCCATCGGCCTAATACGCAGCTGTAGCCAATTCAATTCGCAAAGCAGGAGTTGCAAGCAGACTATTAAAAACAACAGGGTAAACAGTACATCCTTGCTCAAATGTTGACACACCTGGAAAACATGGGTGGGTTGGTTGCTGGCCCTCTAAGAGTGGAGCTGACGAGAATCCACACATGAAAGAACTGGATTGTTAACAACTAAGAACTATTTCGGGAAGAAATAAGTATACCCAGAGAAGGTTAAGGTAGAATAGAAACAGTGACTAGAAAATTGACATTTTCACTAGATTCTTCACTAGACCAGAAAATATTGGCAAGGCATCGTTTTATAAAAAGGAAAGGAGTCTTGTGTGGGGTCTGGCCTGTCAGGGTTTGGAAGTCATCACTCCATCTCAACCACAAGGAAAAGCTGAACTGAAAAATCAACACTTCCTGAGTCCATCAGAGAACTGAGGTCACAGGACAAACTGCTGCCCCCAAAGTCCGAGAAACAAGCAGAAACAGAAAATCACAACCTACAGGAGCGGAAATCCGTAAGCAAAAACCTCCTCCGGAACCGGTGCCGGTGTAAGAAGACCTGAACTGTGATGGGCAGATTTCTGGAGGCTCAGAGTGATCAAATCTGAGAATTATACACTCCAAAGGGGCCCCCCACTTCATGAGTTTGCCCCTAGGAGCATCACCCAGTTCTCACAGTGGAGTTCTGAGGAATATCTCTTTCTGCTTCTGGTAGGGGGAGAAGGGAACGGAACCATTTTGAAATAGCTGGAGAACTCTCTTCTTCACAAGCCCTCCCCTCAGAGGAAGGCTGAGGCCCTTTTACCAGGGCTTAATTGACTGGGCTTGGTGAGAGTCTAGTTAACCTGGGGAAAGGGAAATTCCCAGCCCTACCTGGTTGGAGCCTTACACCGGAGAAGGAAAATAACCAATTCCAGCCCCTCTAACCATCTTGTTCTTCTCAAGTGAATGAAGGAAAAAGGGAGGCGCTTGTGAAGCTCACAGCCCAGCAGAGCAGGCTCACTAAAGACTGAGACCTAGAGGCACCTGGGTGGCTCAGTTGGTTAAGTGGCTCAAGTCATGATCTCGCTCGCAGTTCAGGAGTTTGAGCCCCACATTGGGTTCTGTGCTGACAGCTCAAAGCCTGGGGCCTGTTTCAGATTCTCTGTCTCCCTTTCTCTCTGCCCCTCTCCCACTTGCACTCTGTCTCTCCCAAAGGTAAATAAACATTAAAAAAAAATTTTTTTTTTAAGGCTGAGACCTAATCATAGGACTAGAACCACTTCCCCCACCCTTGCCCTAACCACCACATTATTAAAGACCTATTTACTGCAGCTTTTTTCACCTAGCACATCATGTCCACCTTTTGACAAAACTTACAAGGCAGGGCCACCTGGGTGGCTCAGTCAGTTGCATATCTGACTTTGGCTCAGATAATCATCTCATGGTTCATGAGTTCGAGCCTTTGGTCAGGCTCTGTGCTGACAGCTCAGAGCCTGGAGACTGCTTCAGAGCTGGGTCTCCCTCTCTTTCTGTCCCTCCCCCACTCGTTCTTTCTCTCTCTCTCTCTGTGTCTCTAAAAAATAAACATTAAAAAAATTACAAGGCATAACTAAAAGACCAAAAAGGAAAAAATGCAGTTTGAAGAGACAGAGCCACTCAGATCAGGACCAGACTCAGATATACCATAATTATCAGAACAGAAGTGTAAAATAACTCTGGTAGATATGCAAAAGGCTCTAAAGGATAAAATAGACAACATGAAGGAACAGATATGTAATGTCAATGGAGATATGGGAATTCTAAGAAAAAACCTAAAAGAAATGCTAGAGTTCAAGAACACTGCAA